TTTATTTATTTATTTATTTATTTATCTATCTGGGTTTTCATCGTTTTTGGTTCAATATATCATTAGTTGTTTATAGATAGGGATAATTTTAAGAAGTAGATTATGATTTTGGAAATACTGAAATATTAGCGGGATTTTGAAATGGGTATATTCGAAATCGTTTTTGAAATCTGGAGTGATTTTGATGATTTTGATCTGGAGTGATAAATTTCATACGAATTTCAATTGTTTTCGTTTATTTTTACAAAGTCGAAAAATTCATATTCGCTCATAAATGAAGTTATGAAAATATGATGGTGAATAGTAATTCAATATGGTAATATTCACTGGTAATTATAAAAATATCCGGATTAATTCTGAGAATGCGTTCATCTTATTTGACGTCGAAGTGTTGAGTGGTCTTGAGACTTTATTTAGTGATATTCAGTTAATAGTTATTATTATTGTTTGTTCTTATCATTATGGACATAAATATTAATGAGGGAATTGAGATTAACTTAAAGGTGCGATTGCTATTGTTGGTATTTTATATTAGCAGTTATTATTGTTATTGATTCATTCTTATATTACATATTGAATCGAGAGACTATGGATATACTTCATTGAGCAATTCGATAACTCGATTATAGTTATAGAGCTAGCTGTGAGGGGGAAATTATGAAGTGTTTTGATCTGAATCGATCAATTTGTTAGCGATTTGATTATCGCTGGTTTTGAATTGACTTATTTTGATTATTATTCTGAATAGTTGTGATGATGGTTGACTTAAATTTGAGAGTATTGAAATGGATGTGAAAGAATTTGAAAAAGTAGAGTCAATATTGAGAAAAGATGTACTGAAGAAGTTGTTGATTGGTGATGGTGATACTAGAGAGGAGGATATAGCGAGAGGGATAAAGGGCACGTTTGATGGGTTGTGCGGAGGTGCGTGGAGCTGTATAGTGGGATATTCTTTCGGATCGTTCATATCGCATCTACCGAGTTGTTTCGTTTTCTTCTATTGTAACAATATCGCGATTTTGGTTTTTAGAACTGTTTAGTGACCACACATCATTTGTGTTTATCGTTGTTTATTTACATTTACTTATTATAATATCAGTTATTCATTATTACCTGGATTGGTCGGTAATCCAGGTGATTTATGACTTTAATCCACGTAGAACAAATCAATTTATTTATTGTAATATCATTCATGATTTTATCGTTTGCTTCAACGAGTTCAGTTACAGTTGATTCATAGATCAGATTTATTTGCGCTTGATGCGGATAATGATAAGTTATTGTTTTTGAGAGATGTCTTTATGTTTACGAATCGAATAAGGTCTATTGAAACTGTTATATGATGTATCTGTTCCGAAGCCATTCATTCCAAACGCTCCATAATTATTATTGTGATTGAATCGGTTCAAATGAGGCATATAACCATTTGATTGCATACCTGAATTTTTATTGTTTTAATGTACTGATTAATAGTGAGAGAATGGCAAAAGATAGCAATGAGTTCACCGAAATCAGGTAATCCTAGATGTCCATAACCGAATCGACCGCCTAATCCAAATCCTGGAAAAGCACCGCCCATCATAGAACCGTACATATTACCGTAATATCCTGGATTGTTGTGTCCACCGTAACCTGAAGGGAATTGCATCCGTTTGTTAATTTACTATTTTAAATATGGACAGTCGTTTGATGAGAATGAAACATTTGAAAGTTATAATAATACCGTAAGGGTGCATCATTCCCATACCGTATCCAGCTCCTGATCCACCGTATCCTTAAAATAGAGATTCTTAATTTATTATTGATATAATTGCATAACGAATAAAAACGACTAACCGAGTGCGTTGTAAGGTGACGTGATTGGGTTATAGAGATTTGAGAGTTGTGAATTAATTGAATTGATTGATATTATTAATATTAGATTTATTACTTTGATCATACACATTATCACTGAAATTCGTTTGAATTTCCATTGTTTTCGTCAGTATTTTATTCGTTCTAGATATAGTAACATTCTGGTGAAATTTACAATAGTTACAATTGAAAATGAATGCGAATCAGATTTCATATTTGCTATTTGATAAGGGTATTGTATTTGGGAATGATCTGAAATAGGAATTGCTAGAATTGAGGTAGATTCACATCAGGAAATCGTTTATATACGATCGTTCTGATGGGATTACTGCGATTTACTTATTATTAGACATTTAGTATCATTATAATGGGATATACGATTGTCAGTGTTAATGGACTTTAGATTTTGTATGTAATAAATAGGATATAACTTTCATTTGGTATTATATCTTCATATGTATTCAATACCATCAAATGCTATTGAAATAGGATAATCACTAAATTTGCATATGTTTACATTGGATGTAAAATTTATCCATTTGATGCCTAAGTTGATCGTTAGCAGGATAATCGTATATCAAGGTTGATAATATGTTACATATTATTTGTTATATGAATATCTCGTTTCGTTCAAATAATATTGTTTCATGATAGTAAATGAATTCATTCAAGGAATATTATGCATGCATGAAGATGAATAAATGATGCTTTTACGTGTGGTATTGAACAGCTGTTTGAATGTGCTTATGTGAGCTTTATGAATAGCATTTTGAGTTGATAAGAAGTGTGTAGTTTGTGATTATGGGTGATGTTCATAGTGATAAGAGTGCGAAGGATGAGATTTTAGTGAGTATTTGAGTTATTGAGATTGTTGCGATCAATACTGGATGAGTTCGTGGATTGTTTGTTTTTGAGTAGTGCTGTTTATTATTATTTTTATTTGGGCTTTTATTTATATCTGATGTTGATTTTAGTCATTTTGTTTGTATTGATATTGGAGGTATTATTTGTATTTGTGTGATTCTTATGAGGTGATGCGATAAGTTTATCGCATCATCAAAAATGTACACGTATTCATACCCATTCACTTATTCGTTAAATATTGTTTCATTACTATTGAGATAGTAGTATTGATATCCACATGACGATTTCGTTCTGTGTGATTCGTATTTTTATGAGAGTCAATTCACTCAAATTTGATCAGTTACTTCAGCTTGCTGAAACGAATTGCGAAGAATAAATCTGCTCTGAGTTGGAATGGCGTCTGCGATACGTTGTCTCATACCTCGTTTAAATCCTCAGAATACTGTTACGCTGATATGTGATATGCAGGAGGCGTTCAGGTTTCAATATTTCATCCTTTGTTATTATTAATTACTGTTATCGTTACTGTGTGATATGATAGCAATTTCCAGAGGTAATATTCATCGCTATCCCGAAGTGATCAGCATCGCGAAACGTGTAATTGAGGCGAGCAATATACTTGGCATTAAAATGATTGCAAGTGAACAATATCCAAAAGGTTTGAAAATATTTCATTTATTATTTAGTTCCTCAATTTTAGTGCAGTCTTGTTGTTATGATAATATTACAAACAAATTCAATTTATGAATCGCTCAGCTTACTGAGGATAACTGGCGAGGGTTAGCTGATTAAGCATCGTCTATTGAGTGGGGGCACTTTGTAAATTTCAATTTGATTTTTACATGCATTCGTAGAATATCTCATGTTGAATTGATGATATAAAATGGCAAATGAAATGGTAACTGAAGTAAAAAGTGAAGTAATACCGATATTAAGTTGACATTAATGATAATAAAATATTGGTATTTGCAGGTCTTGGCCATACAGTATCGGAATTGGAGATCTCCAAGTATAATGTGCCAGTATTTGATAAAAAGAAATTCAGTATGTGTTCACCGCAGTTTGATAAGGAATTGGGTAAGCCGAGTTCGGTGCTTATCTGCGGCGTTGAGGCACACGTGTGTGTGATGAATTCCACGTTTGATTTGCTTGATAAAGGCATTGGGGTGTTTGTGGTGGCCGATGCTGTCTCGTCGAGATCCAATACTGACAGGTTGGTGTTACCGTTATTGGATTGAGTTTGCTTATGAAATGAGGCAATTTGCAGATTGTTCGCACTGAAACAGATGCAACAAGCCGGTGCAGTGTTGACCACATCCGAAAGTGTTCTGCTGACCCTTCTGGGTGGATCTGATCATCAGAAATTTAAACAAGTCCAGAAACTGATCATGATTTCAGCACCCGACACTGAATTGTTCCCTATGTTCCATGCTTAATTCGATTCATTCTCATTGTCATTAGTTTTTGTTTCAGTGTGATTTCATGTAGAATTGATTGTATTTATGAAGTTGGTGAATTCAGATTTATTCGTATTACATCGCATCGAACGTAGTTTGATCGATTTTGCTGCTGTGATCTATTTATTTTTATTGTTATCCGATATTCAGAGAGATTTTTTATGTATGCAGAGTTTTATGTAGAAAATGACTTTTAACTTGGTATTATTTGATAAGTTTGAATGGATTGGCAATTTTGTTTATGTTATATGATTTGAGAATAAATGTTATATCAGAATAAACGTCGTTGTGTGATGACTACTGTTATCATGACATTTGAGTGATGGGGCTTGATAATCATTTCAATGAAATGCGACAACTGATCAAAAAGCACCATAGGATTATATTTGTGAATAATCACGTTATCGTTGCATTGATAATTTTTTTATAAACTTAAACATCCGGATTAAGTATATTTTTTTGTCACTACTACTGTAATTTACAATTGAGCTTCTGTTCTTTCGATGCGCTCTTTTTCCCACGTAAACAAATTCATTTCATTGAAATGAAATGAACTTTAGAAACATTGAGATATTTTTGTTGGCAATATAAAAACTTTTCGATGCAATTTTGTGTGCTTATGAACAATTCTTATGAAGGGTGTGGTGATATTTTCGGTACTGTTGATTATTATTAACGAGATCGATTAGGGAGAATCGCACAGAAATGTTACAACGAATTCGGAATTCACAAAGAACGATTGCTATGATTGTTGGACATCTAGAGGAGATATTAACGGCGATCAAAATCTGATTATTACTGTTAAATCGCTCGTAATGAGCAGACATGAACTGAGGTGATATCTTAATTTACTCATTACATTTAACGTTCCATTTCTATAATAATGACAATAAAATCACATATTGAACGGATTTATTGTGAATATGGGCAAATGGGTGTTTTTTATTCATTAGTTGATAAGGAACTCTGGAATTGAGGACATATTCACGGAATGATCGCAATCGATCATGGCACTTAATATCAAGTGAAAATAGTCAGGTTGGGCATTTCTTAATGATATCTTCGAAGGTACGCAATTGAATTGAATAAGCAAACATGAAAGTAGTATATGGGAATGAAAGTGATGCTATGGCATAGTCCTGATTAGAATTTTGTTTAAAGATTACAATCTTCATTGTAGATAAAATGTGAGCTGTGATGCTTTAAAAGAAGTTTATCATTGGGAATGTGCAAATATACGCTTACTTAAGTCGAAGTGCACGTTTAGTGATAAAAACGAACTAAAATTAAAAAGTTATCAGATAATAGATTGCTACTATTTAAGTTTATTTAGGATTTATTTTGATTCAGTCATGAAATTTGCGTCGTTGCAGACTGCTGTTGATTATTTGCATAGATGAGATGTGCAATTGTTATAGTCACTTATACTAGTTTGTTGATGGCAATTGATAATGTTATTGAGAACGATTTTAATTTTAAGGATAATACTGATAGGTAATAAACAATTAAGGCTATTTCAACAACCGAAAATGCATCGAATGTTTCATTTTGTTGCAACGATAGCATTTACGATAGTATTAATAATAAGCGGAGTAAATTCAATTCGAGAGGAAGATTTGATAAAGAATCTACCAAATGTAACGTTTCAATATTCATTCAAACAATATTCTGGTTATTTGAAAGCAAATGACGAGGGCAATTGGAAATTCTTTTATTGGTGAGTTAGCTATTATTGTTATCATTGTACGTTAGTGCCCGACGGGGAGCTATTTCCTGATTACTTGGCGATTCCATTAACCTTGAAGTTTACCCCCAACAAGTTTAGATTCCTTCCCGTGGGGAGCCTTTCCACGGGCAATTCGCTTACCATCTTTCTCATCTGGGTCCCCTCCTCGTAACTTTGTTTCCGACTCTCCGACGGGATCCTTCTTGGCCAGAAAGATACTGCTGATGAATAATACCATGTGATAATTCAAATTCAAGGGTGATGGAATCGCAAAGTGATCCTAAAAAGGATCCGTTGTTGTTGTGGTTGAATGGTGGACCAGGATGCAGTTCACTGGTGGGCGCATTCACCGAACTGGGTCCGTTCTATATGAATCGAGACGCATCGTCGCTCTACGAGAACATTTTCGCGTGGAATAAGGTCATTTGATATCATTATTGCTTTGGTTTATTGTTATCGTTATTTGCTATTATATTGAGATTGGTATTGTTTTATATTTCTATGAGAATTTAGTGTTTTAGCATGCAAATCTATTGTTCATTGAATCGCCGATAGGTACTGGATTTTCATATGATACTAAAGATATGTTGTCATATACAACTGGAGATAATAAGACTGCAGGTTTATTATTATTATTATCATTATTGTTTGTGGGTTGTTCGCTGTTCATTATTATTTTCATTATCATGACTAACGATATTAATTGAATGATATAGTGTTTTTTTAGTACTGAAACTCTTTTATTAAAGTTTTTTGAGTGTATTTTTGGGAGTGGACATTTTTGGTGATGTATCGTTAGCGATTCTGAAGAGTGCATATGAACGAGTAAATCTTAATGAAAAATATTAATAATGAAATAAAACAACAAATAATATAATGATGGCAACAATAACACATAATGATAATAATTCAGATCAAAACTATCACGCACTCAAGGATTTCTTTTCGCGAGTGCAACCGCAATACAAAAATCACGATTTCTTCATTTCTGGTGAATCATATGCTGGTATCTATGTACCGACTCTTGCACAACGCATCATTCATGGAATTAATGATGGTTCATTCCCGAACAAACATTTTAAAGTAATATTTATTACTATTAACTATTATTATCATTATTATTGTTATCGCTTATTATTCTCATTAGTATTGAATAGCACTTGTAATAATTGTTTGACTGAAGGGTATGGCAGTTGGAAATGGATATATGAATGTGAGGGATTTGACGAATTCATTAATGTTCATTTACTATTATCATGGTATGATTGGTGTGAAGTTGGTTTTTAAATTTATTTGTTTTTATTGTTGACTCTTTGTTTTGATCGGTGTTTAGTTATTATAATTTGAATATTTGAGAGAATGGAATCATATCAAAGAAGTATGTTGTCCGCATGAGCCGGATGCAGAGAAATGTAATTTCTATGAACATATGTACTATAATCTTACTGGTCCGTTTGGCATTGACGAGTGCTCGAAATTGGTCAATTTTCTCATTTTTGTTGTTGTTTCATTGCTTATTTTCGTGATTTTTTTGAATTAGTTTTGTTTGCGATTCGTCTCGATTCTCAATATTTATTGACAAATTTCACAACATTTCAAAACTTCTTCGCCATTTATAGTTTTTTGATTTTAAACGATAACAAAGCAGAAAATATTTCAGACTGCGCCGTATTACAGACTTCCGAAAGGGTATTTATCTTCCATCTTTGCCTAAGTTTTCGATTTGTGACAAATTGTTCATTTGTTTTAGTATTTATATGGTTATTAAGTGATTCATAAGAATAGTTCTGTTGACGAATTACGTTTATAACTGATGCATATTATAACAGACGATTAGGCGAATAATAATAACTAATGAAAATAAATTAAAGAATGGATTTGTACGATTTATATCAAGATTGCTATAAGACCGATTTCTTAACTAAAACTATGAATTTGTATTGGAAATGGATACCAGCCCTTCAGCAATATCTACTCGTTCAACAGGGTGACGGAAAACAGATGGCGGTTTGTTTATTATTTTGATTATTGCTATTAGCGTTCATCACTAAGTTTCATTTTATGACTTTGTTCGGTTTATGGTATTATACAAGTTCAGAATGGATTGTGTAAAATGCTTTCATTTAAGGACTTCATAGACAACGATTCGACAGATAATCACCTCGGATATCCTTGCTTCAGTGATGGCGCAGAAACGTATGTTTATTTGTGTGGTTAAAGGTGATCGTAAGTGATCATTAGTTGACTTGGATTATAACAACTTTCAGAATATATATGAACAAAGCGGAAGTGATGAAAGCGATTCATGTTGACGAGGCGTGGATGAAAAACGTTGACAAGTGGCAAGAGTGCAAGTTCGTTCTAAATTTCTATTTCATGGGATTGAACTTGCACAAGGCGATTCGAGTTTTTGGATGAGCATTTGCACTTATTTCACTTTGACGAGCGATCAAATTCGTATCGCTTCAACTAGGCTGGTGCACGGATGGATGTTTTATTCCTTTGTGTATTCCTTAATCGCTGTCTGTTTCAGTCAACCTCTGTACAATCATTACAATATCACTTACTACGACACAACACCCGTATTTGAGGATATATTTAAAAGTTCGAAGGTTGGTCTCACTATCATATCATAATTCAGTGATGTTTACAGTAGAACACAACTTCCTTCATCTTGCGGCTAGTTTGAAGGGAGAAAATGAAAATGACATCGTAATAGTGAATAAATTGACTATTTAGCAGCATTCAGATTATTAATTTCAGAGTCCGTTCAGAATATTAATCTATAATGGTGATGTGGATACTGCGTGTAACTTTATGGGTGATGCATGGCTGATGAGTAGAATCGCGAAGAATAATCATTTTCATGTTCGTTTCGTGCTTAATTTTGAGAGTGTGTACCTAGAATTCATCTAATTTCATCGATTATTTCGAGTTTTGATAAATTATTCAGTGAATATTTTCGAATACCTCGTCAATAATACTTGTAGATTGAAGATATGTGACTGAGATCATGAGAACACTGTGGAGAATGATTGTGTGATGTATTTATCGATAATTAATTGATCAGTGTGAATTTTCAGGTTGGTCAAAGAGGCCCGTGGTATTTCAGAAATCAGGTGGGTGGATATGTGAGAAGATATAGTGGGAGTGCTCCAGGGGCGGCTCCCATAACGCTGGATGTTCTTACGGTTAAGGTTGGCTTTAAATTTTTACGGATAAACGGATAAAATATCAAATTGTTCGTTTATCTGTTCATTTAGGATTGACTAAATTCACTCAATAATTCACTAACCATTCAGTTATATTTGAGGATTCAAATACTTTTATCATCGGTATTTGTGCAGTTATGATTATCTGAAACGTATCTCAATACGAAGATTAATAAAAATGATGATCTGTGTTATTCCATTCGACTTTTAACATTATCCACCACTTACTCGAATTCAGTCAGAAATTTGCATCTTTAAAATCATTTCCTTGGATTAGAGTAAAAACTAATTGAAGGGTGCTGGACACTTTGTACCAGCGGATCGTCCCGGTCCGGGCATGCAAATGCTGGAGAACTTCTTACAAGGACAAGCAGATTATTCTTCGACGAAAGGTATCGACGTTAAACCGAAACCTGCACCTGGACTTTATGATCAACCCACCCCTACCAGTAAATCCAGTCAAATTACTCAATCCACCACACACAATAAATCCAGTCAAATTACTCAATCCACCACCACACACAATAAATCCAGTCAAACTCTAATTAATCATATTTTATTATTATTATTTCCGTTTACTCAATCCACCACACACAATAAATCCAGTCAAATTACTCAATCCACCACACACAATAAATCCAGTCAAATTACTCAATCCACCACACACAATAAATCCAGTCAAATTACTCAATCCACCACACACAATAAATCCAGTCAAATTACTCAATCCACCACCACACACAATAAATCCAGTCAAACTCTAATTAATCATATTTTATTATTATTATTTCCGTTCATTACCTCTCTCTATTATCGCTAATTCATTCCGTTCACTCGTCATTCGTTGATTATTATCGATTTTCATTCGGATTGCTTAATTAATTTCATTACTTCTTTTGTTATTCTCAGTATAGTTTTCCATATCCATCTGTGATCATCCCAGTGACTTTGCTAAGCGTAAATTGCTTTCCGATATTTTGCAACTTATTTGAACGTTCATTTGGAGTAATTAAGTTATTTTTCATGTTGTATTAAATTTTGCAAATGTTTATCGTTGATGTGCAATTAAAGTTTTTCTCTTCATTCGCCTGTTTTCTGAGTATCATTAGCTCGTAAGGGCCTAACATGGTTTTCATTCGTTTTAACAGGGTTTTCATTCTTTTCCGTGCTGTTCCAATCACTCTCATAGCTTTTATCACCAAATGTGTTCTCTTCTGATAATTTCTCATTCATTTCACTCAACAATTAAAGTCAAATTCTCATTCTTTCAATTACACTCTATAATCAATCATTTGACAGTCGAATGTTGTTGATCAATAATATTCCATTGCTCTATTGTTGGTCTCGGCTGTCAACACTCGTCAACGTATCCAATAAACAGTATATGCTACAGAATAAGAAATTGATTGAAACTGTGAAGTGAAATGAGACGAAGTGAATGATAAAAACTCATCAATAGAACGGTATTCGCATGTGACAGCTATGAGAGTGACTACAACACGTCTGAAAAGAATGAGAATCCATCTAAATCATACGTAATATATCAAGTTCTTGTATAAAAGAGGGGTTTCAATATAAACATGCTAATAAACAAATCTCTTCAGCTTTAGCTTGATCATAATTCGATAATAATAAACAGTTTAATTTCTCTATACAACATATCGTAAAGACCATCATAAAAACAATGATAATAATAGTCATAATCGTAATAATATTTACAAAGAAATGCGATTCAAACAATGAATATAGCACAATTTCATTCAAACAATATTCCAGTGCTTTGTGTGTTTTATCCCTTATCCGTATAATCCCTTGTCTGCACATGTCGCGCTTTCACTTACTCAATTCCAATTCAAATTATTTCTGATTCGTAGCCTTTTCCAATCTCCATCTCATCATTTTTTCACTCATTCCATTCGCAATCAGAAATTCTAGATCGTGAAACAAAAATTCGCTTGAAAAAACCTCCCAAGCCAATATTGCCCATCGGAATCAAAAACTTTTCAAATACTTCTCCTCGATTTCACATTTCTATCCAATTTATTCGTTTCACTCGTGATTGTTTCAACTGAAAACGGAGCAGGCGCAACTTCTGACGAATCATCACATCTGGTTGAGACTTGGGGCGAGTTTGAGCCTGAGGCTGGAGAGGCACTTATTGATTCCGATTCAGGTTGAGGACGGGATGGAGTTGGGGTCTTGGGATGGATGGATTCCATTTCAGGTTTGGATTCATGTGAACAAGACGGACTTCGTCGCTCGTTTGTGCATACTGATTGCGATGAAGCATGATGCGCTGTATGCTGCTCGCGTTGTTGTGTCGTTGATCGACAGGGACTAGTTTCGTTTGCTTCATTCGCTTCACTGACGGTACTCCTGCGATTTGCGTATCATTAGTGAACGTTTGAAGACAAAACAACAACGATAGCAATAAGGATGCTAGTAAATATTAAGTACAGAATAAAGTTCCCGGGCAGTTACGCTGCCCGGGAACTTTCTTCCCAAGAAACTGATAATATATCACTCATAATAATCACAATCTACCTTGATTGATGTTCTACTACTTGAGTTTGTTCATTGCCACTGTCTTGTTGTGACTCGTCTCGCTGCACTGGTGATAAAACTAAGTTCGTTCTGGAAAGCGGTGGCAGTTTGGTAGCATCCTCATAGCTTGGCAATGCCGGAAGACGATCGTCGTGTCGGAATCGTGCTAAGACAGTCAATAAACATTTTAGAAGTTATCATCGATGTACAACTGAAATTAACAATAACGGCAGTGCTAATGGAATCACCTCTATTCGGGTGCAGAACATACGGTGGAGGGCCATTATCGTAGAGCGGTGCGGCCCGGAACGATAGGATGGTTCGTGTATCCTCACATGAAAGCATCTCATTCGCTCGTCGTGTACTTATCGTGGCCGCATGCGTTGATCGTATTAAATCCTCACGTCGCAGTGTTGTTATCCGGTTTTGAACCTTTATTTCAAGTTGATTTGTGTGCGATCGAAATAGTAATACATAGATAGAAACAAAAACAAATGAAGCACCTACCTGCATTCGATGTTTCATTAACAAATACATTGAAACCACCAAAACAATGATCATAATCAGACTGAATATCGTACCAGATATGTCTCGTGTGAATAATTCGTTTCCTTGAATTATCTCCTTGAATATCATGCATAAACGATCATTATTACAATGACCATTCACAAATGAACAGCGTAAAAAATAATTAGCAAAAAACATAACTTGATAGCAGCAGAAACTCTGATGGTAAGACCACAAAAAACGATAAAACAATCGCACCTGATCACCGTATCGCTGAAATCTGGAAGTAGCCGAGGTACGATTAGTGTCGATTTCGCAGTGATAACCCAAAAAGTTCGGGGGGCATACGCACCGTTGCTTCATTTCAGTACCGCCGTTCAGACAGACCATTTCTCGACACTCCTCACCCTGGTAGAACGGTACACAGCCACAGTAATCTCGTCCATCAGCGCCTATCAAAACACTCCAAATAACAATTCTAATCGATCACTTCACACTTCATTATACCTTTCATCCGTTGTCCTTGATCACAAAATTTCTCGCAAAACTCTCCAAAATACGGCTCAGGACAAATGCAGTGGGCGATACCGTTGACTGGATGAGGATATGATCGATAGCCATGATTGAGGCATGCTGCTAGACGGCGACAGTTCTTATCGAACTGCTGTGTGGATGCATACCCACCATCCACTCCTGAATGATAAACTGATCAAATCACTGGTATGATCAAGTATTCTGTGCTCAACTCAGAATCTATAGGATAGTAGACAGGGACAAATGCTATCCAGTGCGAGAAGAATGACTTGCTAGGTCCAGCAAATCAAGAGTTTTAAATCAATTCCAGTTTTTCTAAATCGAACTGGACTTGAGTTTAAAGGATGCCAAATTTAAGCCCGAATGAAGTGGAAACAGTTTGAAATGAACAACAGAGAATAAGTAAACACCTCGACAGCCTAAGCAATATGAACGATAGCCTTCAAATAGTCAATAAATGATAATTACATGAACATAAACAATGACAATACAAAATAATTATGCTACAATACAGCATGGATAATCACACGAATAACAACAACATTCAACGACGGCATTAATCAGAACTCTTTATTTTCATAAATTCTTAATCAACTCATCAAAACGCTAACCTTCGCATGCGCACTTCACTCCAAACGAATTGATACCATTTATATTGAACAAAGCTGATGCTGATAGCAAATAATTACCCTCATATACAACACAACCATCCTCATTATTATATTTATTGTTATTATTATTTTCCATATCATTATCAGTATCACTGATAACATGACTAGTTGAATCACCCGTATTACGATTGGCATGTTGTCGAGTTGGAGTGTGACCATCTGTATTTACATAGTCAATCACATAATCCGACTTCAACTCGGTCCAGTTTTTGACTAACTGTAATTTGTTCGATTATGAATGAGATTATGATAAGGAGCTGGTTGAATGAGGTGTTGAGGAAGTTACATGAGCGTTTTGAGGGACTGGATGTGCACCGTGGCAGCAGGTGATCGTGAACGTTCGAGGTATCCATAACGGTGCGAACTGAATCGTCGATTGGGTTGTGCTTGTCGATATGTTCATCGCTGATCTTGCTTCAACTACAATACTCTTTCATCACTCAAAAATCTCCATTCACATATCTGAACCCCTTCAGAAGTTCATCCCAGATTTTGAAAAATCCCACAATACCACGAACAGATCAATCCTCTCAACTTTAATATTCCATGCCCATAACTTGATGAATATTACGCAGTTGGAACCAGTTCATTACACGAAATTAGCTATTTGCTTACACCTCTCTCGGGTCGCATCAAAATACTGAACTTTGTTGATCATAAGTAAGTATATTTCATATAATGAAATGTACAACAATGCAAATTAAAACAAAAAAAACCAAACAAAATCCGATATCAAATGTGCATAAAAATACAAATGAAAACATACCAGCAATACATTCTGCAATTGATAATAAAATTATTTTGTAAAATAACAATAGAAATATATTCATTTCACATATCATTTTATCAACATAATAATACCAATTAATCAGTTCAAAGCTGTTCGTCAGTCAATGCCGATTATTGATTCGTTCATTAATTATCAATTAATAACGATTCAATGACGATATTCAAGCGTTCTCTGAAACTATCAATCATTTCAGAGTCAAATGGTCACGGTTAACGTTCAAGTGCATCACATCTATACATCACTCTACCACATATTCCTTGATCTCATCCATCAATAAAATATAAATTCGGAGCTGTGAAGAGAGAGGTTCGAATGTATCCAATCTAGGTTACGGCGGAAATTTCGTAGAAAGACAGACTTTATATTGTTTATAGTTCTCTTTGGATGGGGACGGGGTCGGCTTAATAAGAGCAGAGAGGAGAAAATTACTCGAGGAGAAAAAAAGAAGTATCTGGTTGGGAGATAAGGGAATAGCTCTTATCAGTATCTTAGGCTGTTATCACCGATAACCAATCAGAGATGATATACCAGTTGTTTAATCTTCCAAATGCCTACGTGCCAGATCCCAATATCCACAATCAACACTGAATAATCCTCGTGCTCTAACTGTTACTGCATCAGATATCATAAACACAATAAGATAAGATCGGATAATCTAATCGCAAGTAAAGAAAATCGATAAACATCAACTGGCAATCGACGTCATACGGCTGCATATGAAAAAATATCCAAAGGAATATCTCACATAAAAACGTTGCTTTAGACAATTTGATCTAATTTGATTTGAGGAACTTGACTTAACTTCACCAAATTTAAATTCAGTTTGGGCAATTGTTCAGATATGACTGGAAAATTATGAAACTATAAGGGAATCCAGGTTTTAGGTACCATTAACCACCTTGTCACGCCAAATATGTCCACAGGTAAATTCAGGTCCAAGCAAAGCTGAGTTAAAGGTGTGTTCGATTGGGATCAAACCAATGATACTTTAGATTTAGATGAGATCATGAAACAGATACAGTAACCGAATAGAACAACAGCAATAAGAAGAGAATATTTGTGATTCTATCCACTTTCACGAGCATATATCCAATTTCACGAATAAATCTCACGCCTTGAAGTGTATCATAAAATATTTACGAGTAATCACTGATTCTCACTGAATGAAACGAAATGAATAAATAAATGAAATGAACTGCATTGTTGATTCAATACCAACAAACACATTTCTTTAGCATAACAAAACATCAACACCAACGTTAAAAAGCCGGAATGCTTGAATATGCACATATGTACGTACNGTACGTACATATATGTAAACATGAGATATTATTATCATTCAGAATTTTATTGGTATTACTATTATTTTGAATAAGATTAGAACAGGTTTTTGCTTCATGTTTTGTGTGTTGTTCGTATGTGACATGATGATCGATGTGATTCAATCATTATTCTTATATTATTGTTGTTGATGGCAATAATCATAACAAAATGTTATATAAACAGCAGAACAACTCCATCGAGTAGTATCAAAATTAATTTATCGAAATTCATTAATCGAATCAACTCAAATTACAATAGATCAAATCAATTCGAAACAACCCCAACCAAAATAACATCCTCCTCTACCGTTTTGTATCATCTTATTGTAATATAAATAAAAATAACTCTTCATGAGTATTATCTCATCATCAAGTGTTCATCAAACAAACTGAAGAAAATTGCGCGCATGCATGCATGCGATTTGACGAATTACTAAAATATCTATCACTCACGATAACTATCTACGATTGACTGACTCCTTCATTGTTTCATAACAATACTTCAAATGACACCTCTAGCTTTCGACAAAGCTAGAGGTGCCTAAAATACCCAACCAAGAAATAATGCAAAATACCAAAGAATAACCGAAAAAGCCTTAAAGTAATCCGTCCAGGCATCCACATCCCAAAAGAATGCCCTATACTGACTGATGTAACTCCTGATTCCAAACTGATTCGAACGTTCGTTATTGACTACTGGCTGCTGTTGCCATTCTCACAATACACAATACACACCATTCATCACATCGATAATCTATCAATTTTCAGCTCTCCTACCGAACCGGTTTTTCAAAATATATTATTAAGCATCTCCAACGTCGTTTATGATACATTATGACTGTCAACACAAAAAAACAAAACAAGCCCCTCGCCCACGACTTAACACACACACACACAAACTCCTATCTATGTACCACCAAATTCTCACAAAAAACACACACACACTCGCACAAAAAATCAAACTTCCCGTCTCATAAAACCAGATAATAACCCATTTAAGAAATCAAAAAAATAAAGCACTCTCTCCAAACAA